ATGCTCGTCGTGACAGTGCGGCACGCTCGGCTGTGGCTCGAATCCATCGAGGACCAGGTTCCCGCGGATGTCAGCCGTGAAGTTCAAACTTCCAAATCTGACCTGATGGCCAGGGGCGTAGCTTTCGATCTGCTCCAGATGGCCAAGCGAATTGGCCCGCAGTGCAAAGCCGCCGAATACGAAGAACTCTCCGGGGAGGAAGGTCTCACCCTGGACTGTGTCGTTATTGATGATAGAAGAAGCCATCGAGCCTATCGGTGACGACACAGAGGAACTCTCAATGAGAGCACCAATGTTGGTGTCAAAACCGGTGGATCTCGGGTAGGGGGTCCCGAACTGTGCGTCTAGGCGGATTGTAACAGGAGACAAGGGACACGATGTTTTACCCAGGTTCGGGCCCTCTTGATGGAGGTAAAACCCTACGTCCTGCTTGATTAATATTGATGATGTGTGTTACAAGAGTAGATCTACCACGAGATCAAGGAGGCTAAACCCTAGAAGCTAGCCTATGGTATGATTGTTGTTCGTCCTACGGACTAAAGCCATCCGGTTTATATAGACACCGGAGAGGGCTAGGGTTACACAGAGTCGGTTACAATGATAGGAGATCTACATATCCGTATCGCCAAGCTTGCCTTTCACGCCAAGGAAAGTCCCATCCGGACACGGGACGAAGTCTTCAATCTTGTATCTTCATAGTCTTGGAGTCCGGCCGATGATGATAGTTCGGCTATCCGAACACCCCGTAGTCCAGGACTCCCTCACCTCCCACTTATGATTAACCCCCTCGCAAGGATCCGCAACTATGAAAGATGTATTAAGATAAAATCTAACCATAACATTAAACATATGGGTTCAAATTAGCCCCTTACGAAATAGTGCATAAATTAGTGTTTAAGCTTCGGTCACTCTAGCAGCCCATCATCTAATAACTACTACACAGTGCATTCCCTTAGGCCCAAAGATGGTGAAGTATCATGTAGTCGATGTTCACAATACACCAGTAAGGGAATCACAATATACATATCATCAAAATATCGAACAAATACCAAATTCACATGATTACTTGCCACATGACTTCTCCCGTGGCCTCAAGAACAAAGGAAACTACTCACAAATAATATTCATGCTCAAGATCAAAGGGATATTTAATAGCATAATGGATCTGAACATATAATCATCCACCAAATAAACCATATAGCATCAACTACAAGGTGTAATCTACACTACTAGTCACTCATAGGTACCAATCTGAGATTCCGAACAAGATTGAACACAAGAGATGAACTAGGATTTGAGACGAGATGGTGCTATTGAAGATGTTGATGAATATTGGCCTCAGAAATATGAGAGGGTTGTTGGTGATGACGATGGCTTCGATTTCCCTCTTCGGGAGGAAAGTTCCCCCGGTGGAATCGGTCCGTCGAAGGGCAAAAGTGATCCTACCAAGTTCCGCTTCGAGACGGCGGCGCTTCATCCTGAAAGTCGTCCCCTTATTTTTTTAGGTCAAAAGACCTTATGTACCAGGAGATGGGCACTAGAGGTGGGCTGGATGGCCCACTACCCACCAGGGCGCGCCTGGAGGGGCTGGCGCATCCTGGTGTCTTGTGGGCACCTAGCAGCCCCTCTCCAGTAGTTCTTTTCTCCAATATTTATTATATATTTCAAAATAATTCTCCATAAAATTTCAGCTCATTTGGAGATGTACAGAATAGTATCTCTGGCATAGCTTTTTCAGGTCCAGAATTCCAGCTGCCGGAATTCTCCCTCTTTATGAGAGAAAAGGCATTAGAATTACTCCACAAAGTGTTATAAAGCATAAAAACACTATAAATAACAGTAGGAAAACATGATGCAAAATGGACGTATCAGGACTCAAGAACACAAAAAGGATTTTTCAACACTATTTGGACAACTCTTCATGCACTCGCAGTTGAAATTTTAATGATATTCACTAAAGGCATAGAAATGCACTTATTTCCTGAAGTTATAGAAAACAGACTCCAAAAGATGCCAAATATCAACATGGATACCTTGATGGTGTGTATTGAGTGTAGAAAAAAAATGAAGGCCCTGGATGAAGCAACTGCTGCATCGCCTTCAAACCTCAATCATTCCCTCTTGAAACCATGTTTTACCTCGATTATGGTCTCGTCATTAAGTGTTTTTACACCATATCATTTCAGAAACCTTCTCCATCTTTTACCATGGCCTTTAATCATCATATATTAACATCATGCGAAGTTTCATGATTTTTGTACCTTGTTTGCAATTTTTGAAATTCAAAACCAATAAACTCCAAGTTTGGTGTCGAGTCTTGGCACCCTCATGTTTGGAATTGCTATATTTTTGTTGTCTAATGCCTAAACATAGACTCAAGAACACAAATATGATTTATAAACCCAACTTTGGTAACCTTTTCAGGCACTCGCAATTCAAATTTTATTTTTATTTAATAAATGCCTAGGAATGCACTTAATGATTAAATATAATAAATGGGCCCCAAAGATGCCAAATTTTTACATGGATCGTGTAATAGTGTATCTTGAACGTAGAAAAAATAAATCAAGGTCAACAGTAGAAGCAACGTATACATCGTCTTCAAACCTCACTCGTTTCCTCTCGACACCACGTTTCTTCCTCAATGATAGTCCGGTTTCTAAGTAGTGTACGACAACCTTCTATCATAGACTGTAGAAATCGTATAATGATAATATGTCGAGTTTTATGCTTTTCACACTTCGTTTACCATTTTTGAAATTAAAAATCCAATGAAGCTTGTTTTTAAGGTCGAACACCCTCGTGTGAGAATTTCTTCCCTTTTCTTGGATGACTTCCAAAAATGGACTTAAGAACACAAATATTATTTATTAATCTAAATTTGCCAAGTTTTCCATGCACTTGTAGTTCCAAATTTATTTATATTCACTGAACGTCTAATGCCTAGAAATTAACGTAATGCCTACATAAGGAAATAGAGAGGGAGGAAGAAAATAAATAAAAACATTGCGTTGAAAAGAAAAGAGCATAAAAGAAAATAGAACAAATAATGTACAAGAGAAAAAAACAAGAGAAAGGACAAGAAAACAGAGAAAAAAAAGTTTTTGCCGACTGCAATAGAAACGCACTCGTCAAAGAGAAAGAAGGAGAAAAAGGGAAAAAAATGCTTGTCAGGTGCAAAAAAAAGAACTGGGCAAAAGGGAAGTGCTTGCCGAGTGCAAAAAAATGTCACTCAGCAAAGAGTTGTTTGCTGAGTGCAAAAGAAAATGTAAGCGACAAAGATCATGTTTGCCTAGTTTTTGACAAAATGCACTTGGCAAACACTTGAAACTGGGCAAATTCGGCGATTCCAGTAGTGGAATGTGAGATACGTAGTAAAGTTTAGTTACTTCAGGTGAATTTTACTTATTATGAAATAACAAAGC